TAGAGAGGGTCCTTGAAGGTCATAGAGCTGTGCGATGGTTGGGTTGGGTTGTGTTGTGTTGGGTGGGAAGGGTTCTTCAGAACTGTAGAACCACAGAATAGGTTCAGCTGGGAGGGTCCTTGAAGATCATAGAGCCATGGAAGGGTTAGATGGAGAGTCCTTAAAGATCATAGAATCACGGGATGGTTGGTTTGGAAGGGTCCTTAAAGATCACAGACCTACAGAATGGTTGTGTTGGGAGGGTCCTGAAAGATCATAGAGCCATGGAATGGTTGAGTTGGGTTGGAAGGTCCTTTAGAGTTGTAGAATCACAGCACATTTGGGTTGGAAGGGTCCTTTAGAGTTGTAGAAGCACAGCATGGCTGGGTTGGAAGGGTCCTTAAAGATTACAGAACCACCGAACCACATTATGGTGTTGTTTGGAGGGTCCTTAAAGATCTTAGAGCCATGGAAAGGTTCAGTTGTGTTGGGTTGAGTTGGAAGGATCCTTTAGAGTCGTAGAAGCACAGCACGGTTGTGTTGGGACCTTACAAAACCACAGAATGGTGGTGTTAGGAGGGTCCTTAAAGATCATGGAGTGGTGGAATGGTTGAGTTGTGTTGGAAGGGTCGTTTGGAGCTGTGAAAGCACAGCAAGTCTGGGTTGGAAGGGTCCTTAAAGATTACAGAACCACAGAGTGGTGGTGTTAGGAGGGTCCTTAAAGATCATAGAGCTGTAGAACAGTTGGGTTGGGTTGGGTTGGGTTGGGTTCGGTAGAAGCACAGCGTGGTTTAGTTGGAAAGGTCCTTAAAGATTACATAACCGCAGAACCACATTATAGTGGTGTTGGGAGGGTCCTTAAAGATTACAAAACCACAGAATGATGGTATTGGAAGGGTCCTTAAAGATCATAGAGCCATGGAATGGTTGAGTTGGTTTGGAAGGGCTGTTTGAAGCTGTAGAAGCACAGCATGTCTGGGTTGGAAGGGTCCTTACAAAACCACAGAATGGTGGTATTGGGAGGGTCCTTAAAGATCATAGGTTGAGTTGGGTTGGAAAGGTTGTTTGGAGCTGCAGAAGCACAGCTCGGCTGGGTTGGAAGGGGTCCTTTAGTCATAGAAGCACAGCATGGCTGGGTTGGAAAGGTCCTTAAGGATCACAAAACCACAGAGAGGTGGTGTTGGGAGGGTCCTTAAGGGTCATAGAGCCATGGAATGATTGAGTTGTGTTGGAAAGGTCATTTTCGGCTGCAGAAGCACAGCTCAGCTGGGTTGGAAGGGTCCTTAAAGATCACAAAACCACAGAGTGGTGGTGTTGGGAGGGTCCTTAAAGGTCATAGAGCCGTGGAATGGTTGGGTTGTGTTGGGAGGGTCGTTCCGGGCTGAAGCACAGCTCGGCCGGGTTGGAAGGAGCCCTGCCGTACCCCTGCCCGGGGCTGGGTGCCGCTCACGGCCTTCCATAAAAGCCCCGCGTCCGCAGCGCAGCCCCGCTGCTGGGAGCGCAGCGGTTTTGCAACGCCGCGTTTTCTTTTTAATTGCAAATGAAGGGATTGCGAAGAGGCGCTCAGCCGAAGGCCGGCCGGCTGCGAAGCGGAGCCGCCTCTCAGCCGCAGCCACGTTATCTGCAGCGGGAGCGGCAGCCGCTCCTCGGCCGTCCTGCAATTAGCGCTGATTTGCATGAGCTGCGCCGTGATAAACGAGCAGCGCCGCTGGGCCGGGCAGATAACGGGATGGGGGCTGCGGAGATAATGGGGCGGGCTGATAACGGCACGGCTGGGGGGGGGGGGGATGGGGCGGTGGGTCAGCAGCACTGCTCCCGTGTCTGGGCTTCTGTGCGGCGGCCGTGTGTCCCCGTGCCACCAGCACTGTGCTGTGTCCATGTGACCCCATGCCACCAGCACTGTGCTGTGGCCGTGTGTCCCCATGTCACCAATACTGTCCCCGTGTCACCAGCACTGTGCTATGACCATGTGTCCTCCATGTTACTGTTGCTGTCCCCATGTCCCCAGTGCTGTGCTGTGTCCATGTGTCCCCACGCCACCAGCACTGTCCCCATGTCCCCAGCACTATGCTGTGTCCGTGTGTCCCCATGTCCCCAGCATTGTGCTGTGGCTGTGTGTCCAGCTGTCCCCGGCACTGTGCTGTGGCCGTGTGTCCCCATGTCCCCAGCACTGTGCTGTGACTGTGTGTCCCCACGTCACCAGCACTGTCCCCGTGTCCCCAGCACTGTGCTATGACCATGTGTCCCCACGTCATCAGCACTATGCTGTGGCCATGTGTCCCCACATCACCAGCACCATCCCCATGTCCCCAGCACTGTCCCCATGTCCCCAGCACTATCCCCATGCCACAAGCACTGTGCTATGGCTGTGTGTCCCCGTGTCACCAGCATCATCCCTGTGTCCCCAGCACTGTGCTGTGGCTATGTGTCCCCATGTCCCCAGCACTGTGCTATGGCCATGTGACCCCATGTCACCAGCACTGTCCCCATGCCACCAGCACTGTGCTATGACCATGTGTCCTCCATGTTACTGTTGCTGTCCCCATGTCCCCAGTGCTGTGCTATGGCTGTGTGTCCCCATGTCACCAGCACTGTCCCCATGTCCCCAGCACCGTGCTATGGCTGTGTCCCCACATCACCAGCACTGTCCCATGTCCCCAGCACTGTGCTGTGTCCATGTGTCCCCATGCTACCAGCATTGTCCCCATGTCCCCAGCACTGTGCTGTGTCCGTGTGTCCCCATGTCCCCAGCACTGTGCTTTGGCTGTGTGTCCCCACACCACCAGCACTGTGCTGTGTCCGTGTGTCCCCACACCACCAGCACCGTCCCCCCGTCAGCACTGCCATGCATGTCCCCGTGTCCCCGCAGAGCTGCTCTTTCCGAGCCCCATCTGCACAGCAGCCCCATCTCCCCTCGTTTCCCCTGACCGAGCGCTGCGCACCCCTTCTAACAACTCCTCATCCAACCCCTTTGGACCCCCCCTCTCCAGCTCCGCGCCGTTTAATTGCCCCGCGGAGCGGAGCTGTGCAAAGCGTGACGGCTGGGTGCAGCCCTGGGGGCTGCTGGCCCAGCTGCTCCTGCACGGCCCCTAATGAGCCTCGCTGCTGCCCCGTGCAGCGGTTCAGGTGTGCGCTGCTCGGCTCATTGCCCGCTGCTGCCCGCAGTAATTGCTGCAGCTGTGCCCCGCGGCCCTCCTGCGCTCCTGGAAGGACTGTGGGGGTCCTCAGCGCTTCCAAAAAGCAGCTCTGGGTCGGGGCCCTCTTCCTCCCCTGCCCCCCAAAAAAATGGGTTTTGAGCTGTAGAATTGATGGAGTCACAGAATCACAGAAGGGTTGGGTTGGAAGGGACCTCCAGGATCACAAACCCTTCTGTATCCTTCTGTAGGGTCGCAGAGTGGCTGAGGTTGGGATGATAGAAGGGTTTGGTTGGAAGGGAGCCCACGGAATGGCTGAGGTTGGAATCACAGAACGGCCCGGGTTGGAAGGGACCTCAAGGGTCACGAAGCTCCAACCCCCACCACAGGCAGGGCCACCAACCTCCACATTTCACAGCAGCCCAGGCTGCCCAGGGCCCCATCCAGCCTGGCCTCCAACACCTCAGGGATGGACAGGGCATCCACAGCCTCTCTGGGCAGCAGGGAGTTGGGTGGGTCCTTGGACGGTCCTCTGCTCCAAAGTGCTGCGAGCTGGGAGGTGTGATGGGATCAGCTTTTGGGGGATGCGTGGTCCCAGAGGGGTGGGAGGGTCGGATGGGATCCCAGAGGCGCAGGAAGGTTTGGGGTGGAGGGGAGATTGAAGCCCACCCAGCCTCAGCCCCATAGCACTGCCCCATAGGCAGCTCTGCGGAGAGCTCATCGCTCCCTACAGCTGCTGGAAGGACGTTGTGGTGAGGGGGGGTCGGCTCTGCTCCCGGGGAGCAGCAGTGGGATGAGAGATGATGGCCCCTCCTTGCACCTGGGGGGGTCAGGTTGGACATTAGGGAACATTCCTTCCCAAAAAGAGCTGCGATGCATCGGCATGGGCTGCGTGGGGAGGTGGTGGGGTCACCATCCCTGGAGGTGTTCCAGAACTGTGGGGATGGGGCACATGGGGACATGGCTGTGGGCACGGTAGGGGTGGGGTGGGGTTGCATTGGGGGGTCCTGGGGGGTCTCTTCCAAGCTTAATGACTCTGTGGTTCTGTTTAGGGTCACGGTGGGGGTGGATTGGGGTTGGACTGGGGGATCTTGGAGACATCTTCATACCTTAATAACGCCTTGGTTCTATTTGGGGTCACAGTGCGGTGGGTTGGGCTGGGTGATCCTGGGGGTCTCTTCCAACCTTAATGACTTTATGGTCCTATTTAGGATTATGGTGGGGGTCGGTTGGGGTTGGGCTTGGGGATCTCAAAGGTCTCTTCCAACCTGAATGGCTCTGTGGGTCTATTTAGTTCATAGTGGGGTGGGTTGGGGTTGGACTGGGGGTCTTGGAGATCTCTTCCAACCTTAACGACTCTGTGGTTCTGATTAGGATCACAGTGGGGATGGGGTCGGGGTTGGACTTGGGGATGTGGGAGGTCTTTTCCAACCTGAATGGATCTATTTAGTGTCTATTTAGATGGGGTGAGTTGGGGTTGGGATGGAGGATCCTAGAGGTCTCTTCCAACCTTACTGACTGTGATTTGATCTCCCGTGGGCTGGCTGCCCAAACAACCCTGAGCACCTCCAGGGATGGGGCGCAGGGGAAACTGGCAGAGAACTGGGGGCTCAGCCTTGAAACTGACACGAGACTGGGGCAAAAAAGTCTGAAAATGGACGACTTACTTGTGGGTCAGTGTGTAACAGCTGAGGTCACAGCAGTGCTGCCGTCACATCAACGTGACTCTCTTAAAGCACTCCGTGCACCCGCTCCTGGGGTCTGGAGGAGCCTGGAGAAGAAGAGGAAGCACTGCACCTTCCTGCCCATCTCTCCCGTGCTTTTGGTTTGCAGAATTCACCGTTCTGTGCTGCATTTGTTCTCAGCAGATTTTTGCTTCCCTTGCAGCGAGAACGAGGCGCTGTGGAGGGAGGTGGCCAGCCTGAGGCAGAAGCACGCGCAGCAGCAGAAGGTGGTCAACAAGGTAAAGCCCAAAGCGCAGCGAGGGCTCGGCAGCTGCTGCGATCCCATGCACAGGGGGGGGGTTCTGGAAATGCAACAGAGAGGGCTGGGTTGTGGGGCAGAGCTCAGCTGGGAGCCGTGTCCTGTTCAGATGGGGCTCCCTGGGCTCCGGTGTGTGTCTAGTGCCCCTCGTCCTGGCACTGGGCAGCACCCAGCAGAGCCCGGCCCCCTCCTCCTGCCCTTCAAATACCCATCAGCGCTGCTCAGACCCCTCCCAGCCTTCTCTCCCCCAGCGCACAGCCCCGGGGCTCTCAGCCTGTCCCCACCAGGAGGGGCTCCAGGTCCCCCCCATCTCCGCACCCCCCGCTGGGCTCTCCCAGCAGCTCCCAGTCTGCCCTGAACTGGGAGCCCAGCACCGGGCGCAGTGCTCCAGCAGCGCCCTGCAGGGCAGAGCAGAGGGGAGCAGCACCTCCCTGCCCTGCTGGCTACCAGGGCTCACTGATGGCTCATGGTCAGCTTCTGGTCAACCATTAGTCAATCACTGCCCAACCGTTGGTCAAACATTGGTCAACCACTGCCCAACCATTGGTCAACCACTGTCCAACCATTTGTCAGTCAGTGGTCAACCACTGCCCAACCGTTGGTCAACCACTGGTCAACCACTGCCCAACCATTGGTCAACCATTGGTCAACCACTGCCCAACCACTGGTCAACCACTGCCCAACCATTGGTCAACCACTGCCCAACCACTGCCCAACCATTGGTCAACCACTGCCCAACCACTGCCCAACCATTGGTCAACCACTGTCCAACCATTTGTCAATCAGTGGTCAACCATTGGTCAACCACTGATCAACCACTGCCCAACCATTGGTCAACCATTGGGTCAGTTGTTGGTCAACCACTGCCCAACCACTGATCAACTGTTGGTTGACCACCACTCAACCGTTGCCCACCAGGACCCCCAGGCCCTTTGGCAGAGCTCCTCCCCAGCAGCTCAGCCCCAACCTGGACCGGTCCATGCAGCTGTTCTTCCTGGGCTCAGGACCTGCAGTGCCTGTGCTGCAGCCCACCAGGTTCCTCCTCACCCGGCCCTCAGTGCGCCCTGGAACGGCCGGGTGGCAGCACGGCTCTCTGGACAGCAGCCCCTCCCCAAAGCTTTGCATCACCCCACAGCTGTTTCCATCTGTGCCTTAATCTGAGTCACTCCGTGTGTCCCAACAGCTTTTCCTTTTTCTCTCCTCACAGCTCATCCAGTTTTTGATTTCATTGGTGCAATCCAACCGCATCCTTGGGGTGAAGAGGAAGATGTAAGTCTGCATTTCTACCTCCCAATAAAGGTTCCCTGTCTGAGAACACAGAGGATCAGCACAGAGGGTCCCCCAGGTCTCTGTCTCCTGTAGCAGCCTTGACAGTGGGGTAGGGCTGTCCCTGGGGTCGTGTGAGCCTCCAAATCCTCCCTGACTCTGCTCTGGGATGGGAGCCAGAAGGGTTGGTGAGCCCACAGGATGCAGAGCGTCCTTCATCCTGCTCTACCAGCACAGCATCCTGTCCCCATCGTGGCATTCTTTGTCATTAGGCTGAAAAAGAACCACGGGGCCATCAGAACTGACCTGCTGGGACACCCCCCCAGAATCACCAAACCTGTCTTCCACTGTGCTGGGGGATCCTTTCCCTGCTGATTGCATTACTGTGCTGCTGGGGGATCCTTTCCCTGCTGATTGCATGACTCTGTGCTGGGGATTGCCCCCCCACTAATTATTCTGGAGGCCCCTCGGAGGTTATCACCACTTCCAGATTAATTAGACATTAACCATTAGTGTTTCTGCCCCAGGATGGTGCTGCAGCACACCCACTTCTCCCCTCTGATCCTTAACACCCCTGTCTGTCTCTGCTCCACCCCCTCCCCATCGCATCCCCCCCCAGGCTCCCCCCCGCCATACCCCCGCGGTGCTGGGCAGTGTTGGATGCCAGCGGCGCGGTGACCCCGCGGTGTCTGGGACTCTCTTGCAGCCCCCTGATGTTGAACGACAGCAGTTCAGCCCATTCCATGCCGAAATACAGCCGCCAGTACTCCCTGGAGCACGTCCACGGCTCGTCCCCATACGCAGTAAGTGAGCGGGGAGGAGGGGAGGCACAGCACCCTGGGGGGGATCCCGCTGGGATTTCCTATGGGAGAGCTGGCAGCTGGCAGGGGGCAGTTCTTTACAGAGAGAAAGGTCTTCAGAGAGAGCGGTGAGGTGCTGGAACAGCTGCCCAGA